GATTTCATAGCTTGGAAATGCAGGAATAACGGCAAATTTAAAAGCTTTAAACTATCAGATTCTAGAATTAAAAAGTGAATAAATATTACAAAGCGTATGCCACCTAATAATAATGGAATGGCCTAACTGGGGAAAAGAAATTCTAAGTGGATGTGGTGTTGGTTCTCATGTAAAACTGTTGTTAATAATCTCAAATAACACTAGCACTTGGAATTTATTACACCCCGACAAAATCGGTTGAAAACATGTACTTTGGAGGTAAAATCATAAAGGGGCTACCCCAAAATTTATATCCATATTGAAAATTTTCGATAAAAAGCTTTCCTACACTCAACTACCAAATCAATTAACACAAGGTAACTAACAACCTCAACCAAAGTGATTTTGGAAATTCCTAATATATTTGAACGAAAATAACTAAATGGTTCCTAATTTGGCATTGGGTTTAATTAATAATGTTGGCATCCTCAACTTTGACATTGAGGATTCTCTTTGCACCTGGTATTGATATCTGGTGGTTCGCAATTATGCACTAAATTTGAACGCAAAAATCTAAGTAGTACTTAATTGGCTATTGGATGAAGCAGTATATCTTGTATCCCGAAATTTGATAGTGTGGTCTCTATTGGTGTCTGTGGTTAAGATGTAGAGGTGATTTTAGAAATACGTCCTATATTTGTACGAAAACTACAGAATGATACTAAATTTGGTATTGGGTGAGAATATCGGCTGGAATCTTCAAATTTGTTATTGAGGTCTTTGTTGGTGTTGATGTCTGGAGGTGGGTTTGCAAATACGTACTAAATTTGCACGAGAAGTACTTAGTGGTGCTAAATTTTGTATTAGATAGGGTGATAGAGCTGGAATCCCGAATTTTGATATTAAGGTCTTTGTTAGTGTCAGCGGCTAATATATGGCTTTGTAAGTGCGTCCCATATATGTAGGAAAACTACTAACCGATACTAAATTTAGTATAAAGTTCGGGGATACGGCTGGAATCCTCAAATTTGATACTGGTATAGATAACTGGTGGAGGGTTGCTGGTTAAGGTATAGAGGTTGTTTTGCAAATGCGTCCTGCGTCCCTTTGTGGAGAAAGTACTTAAATAAATGGTCCAATATTTGCACCTGACTTATCACTAATACAAATATTAGGATTAGCAAAGTTTGCCCAAGTTCAGATGATCCTTTCTCTTTCCGTGAGGTAAATTATTTCCTTTGAAAATCTTTGCATTTTGTGAAGAAGGTACAAGAAGGAGAAGGCCTATTTTGCCCCCATCGATCTAAATTTGATGTTATATTACGTTTTACAAGTTTAGACGAAATCGTATAATCCCTTCGAGAGTAAGCAGCAAGACAGTATGATAGACAGACCTAGATCGACTCCAAATGCCTTTAAACGGATTTGTCCTCAGATTCTAGACCCTACGTTATGTGTGAGGATATTAACATCCTATAGCTCTAAATTGGAAATAATGATAGCTATTTATAGACTCAATAATCATAAAATGGTCTTCCTAGCTAAAATTTCTCTTAAAACCACATCTTGTTCGCTGACTGTTTTATGAATGTCGTGGTAATTTAAATCATTATATGCCACAAGGAGTGTGCCGAGTTTGGCCATCTTCGAAATTAAATCAATGTTGGCCAAAATATGAAGCTTCAAATTTTAAGAGTACGCCAGCTAGAAATAAAAATAGGGTCCAAAAGGTACTGTTGATGAAGCCTCAACAATAATCGGGTCAATAAATATTAGTATTCCTTAACAAAGCTTGAGCTAAAGATTGTTGTGGGCATAATAATAGGCCAACACAAAACATAAGGACGAGCTACAGATTCTGCGAAAACAGAAAACCATCGATCCTTTCTTATGGCATTGCAAGAGAGAGAGAGAGAGTGATAGAAAGAGCAATGACTTCAAATGTCGACCTTTTTTTCGCCATTGCGCAGCAAATCTTTATTATTGTTTTTGTCTTAGATTGAAGAGATACGAAAAATCTCTCCCACTTTCTTCTAAATTAACCCTAGTATATATCTATATATATCTTACTTAATGGTTTCTAATTCTTTCCCCCATATTTTTTTCCAGATTGCATCGCACATATAATGATTTCTACCTTCTGTTAGACTTTTCTGTTTGGAACAATTTTCCGATTATGTCGAAGTTGAATAGCTGTTTCTCTAAACAATATACCCCACAAAGTATATACATGATCAGCATAATATTCGGAGGTCCGTTCACATGTACGTCTGTTGAAAAAAAGGTATAGCCCACATTATTTGACGTAGAACCTTGAAATTTGCAGAATAGTTTGTATTGTGTCTAGGTTGGTACCGAAAATGAGGTATATCGGTCAACGTTTCCGTATAACCCCCTATATAACGATACCTCCCGATATTCGGTATTTTGATGATTTAGCCACATTTTCCGCGGAATTTATCCAATTTTGGAATTGGTAATGGCTTCTCCAACTTTATCTGCCAGAACATTGCAAATAAAGGTCTACGTTTTCCTATATTGCCCATGTATCGATGCCTCCCGATATACGATGTTGTAAAGGGTTTTACGTCTGTTGCATATTCCTATAGGTCCCCGTCTTCCTATAGCCCCCATATAACATCTCCTGATATTCGGTAATTTGATGATTTTTTCACAGAACTGTTCGAAATTTGGTATAAGGAATTGGAAACAGATTCTACATCTGGTGGCGGAACATTGTAAATACATATATACGTTTTCCTACATATATACGTATTTTTACGGTTTTTGCCACATGTTCTATCCTAATTGTAGTTATAGTCTGTAGTGGGTTCTATAGCCGGTGTCAGTGTTAGCTCACAGTATCCACATAATGGTACCCACCAATATTCAATGCTTTGATGATCCTAGCCATTTTTCTACGGAATTGTTCCCAATCTGAATTCTAAAATTGTATGATATTTCCGGCATTTTTTGCTTTCATTCAATAAAATGTAAAAAAAAAAAAAATTATGGCGTTTGACTTTGTTGCAGTTTTTTTTATCTTACCCTGTATGCACTACGCAGACTAAAATAAAATCCCATTTTTTAGCTTTTTTATCGGGTTTCGCATAGAAAAAAGAAAATTTTGCAAGTTTTATACACTAACGAAAACGCTTGAAGTGAAATCACCTTCGCCTTAAGCTCTTCCCAAAAAATAGAAATAACTCTTCTTAATTTTCGAGCTACTATCTTCGAGATATAAAGCTATTCTGTAGCGAATTTACATAAAAGTCATTACTAATAATTACCCAACCCCATACAGAGAATACTTCTTTTCTGACCCCTTAACCAAATAAACGCTTTAATATTTCACTTTACGCTACTCAAACTTACCCCAACATCCTCCAAAATGTTTCTCTCAGATAACCATCATTGTGGTTATGGCAAGTGGTGGCGGGGCATGTATGAAAATGCGGTGACCATGTCAAGTACAGGTTTCCAAATGACTTCACCAGTCGACATCTAGAAAAACTGAAATTCAAAAACCATTTTTGTTTTTTTTATAGTAAGGCTTAATGTCCTGTTCGTTTTTTCTTCTTTTCAGCTATTAAAGTATTTCAGCCTCAAACACAATGAACGGCTGGTCAACACATCCTCCTCCTGGTGATGTGTTTTCTTTTCTCTTCTATTCTCAAATCGTCGCGAAAGTCAAGTCGTTTACCCGGCCCCTACCAAAAAATAGAAAAAAAATTATATATAGATATATTATTGGATTTGTAGCTTTCGACCATCAGCCTCATGGCGGGGGAGATCGGGAGTGAGGTCCACTGAAACTGTGTATTCACGGCTGAATAAATGACAAAAGTCGTTGCCGTTTGGGGGAGTGAGTAAATGGGAGTGAATGAATGTAAACTCTCAGAGGATTTTGTATAAAAGGCAGATAGGCTGTCGCCAGTTTGTATAGCAGATTAATTGCTATTTGGTATTTTGTTGTTGTAGTTGTGTTCTCTGCGCTTTTCAAAAAAAGCGAAAAAAAGGAAAAAGACCAACCAACCAACCAACCCAAACAACTACCATGACCCATGATGATTACTGGCTTATAATCCAGTCAAACGAAGTCATCAGAAACCCTAAGGCCTTATGGCAAATGATGCGGTGTTTTTGTATAAAAAACGGAGGGAAAAGCATTCTGGCAGAGGTTAGAGCGGATATTTTATTTTAGCCACACGCACACAACCATATCAAATGTTGTGAAAGTAATAAAACGTTTTTTTTCTCTGCTTTTTTGAAAAACGTTATTCTATTTTTATAACAACTATTCCGCCACCGAACTATCATCGTGAAAAGATTACCGGAAACTTTGTTTCCTGTCATTTCCGTTTCCTACGTTTCAGCTTTATAATGGTAAATTATAATTTTAATAGATATTGCATTGCCCGGAGCCACAACTTTAACCAGATTATATAGTATTTTTTTCGTACACAAAAGTAAATGTAGAAAAGAGCGAGTGTGTGTTTTTCCCTCGCTCCGTCGCTCCCTCCCAATGCCACCACACATTATCCTGTGAGGCTTTTTTTACAATTATTATTTCTGCTTCTTCTATTAGTCTTTAATGTTTACTGTTGCCGATAAAGCCTGAAAGAGACACATCGGATTTTCGGTTAATTCTATTACAATGTCATATACCATACATAAGGACATTACTGTGGCCCTGTCTGTGGTTAAGTCCCATTTAAGTGACAACATAAAAGTACTCAACTTTTAGCGGCCCGCGCTTACCACTTCTGTTTGCGGGACATTTGTGAGTCTGTTCGTTTGGAAAACAATAAAAAAGATTACACGTAAATTGAAAAAGGCGAACATGGCGGATAAAAAAGCAATTGAGATGACAGGACATTAAATGAAATGTTAGCAGGGAAATAAATATTGTAAGACTTTGAAAAGCATGATCATAAAATATTGTTTTGGCTTATCACAAAAAAAAGACTTATTGGAAATATCGCTAACCATTTAATGTTTTTATTTTCTTTTCGTTTTAGGAAGTATTTACGTGGAGTGACTTCAGTCTGTGAAAAGTGAGTAGAAAATGAGTAACACTTAAAAAAGAAAACATAGCGGTAAAATTGTAAAAAGGAAAATGGATTATTATAAAAACACGTAGGGAAAGGTCAAAAGTCGGGCGGGGCCGACTATATGATACCCTACACAACTATGGGTGTTTAGCAGAGCTCCAGTAACAAAACAAATTTATATTGGGAATTTATGGGAAGTAGATAATACCAACTATGAACCTTATTTGAATGGGAATCATGGATTCAGAGTAATCACAATTGTGGAACCATATCCAACCCTGAACAGATTCTCAACAAATTTGGCAGAGGCCTTTGTATCTCTAGTACCAATTAACATTGTTGTATAGTACATGATATGACTTCGATAAAGATAATATTAAAAAGTATTTTTTTGGAGCAATAGATATGCCGGACAGAGTTTCACCAAATAGAAAAAGTCGGTTACATAAAAAGAAATTTATCCAATGTGAGTTAATATTGCATATATGGTGAGCAGTAACCGTAGCTATATAAAAACATGAACCGACATCGAAGAGGAAGAGGTGTATCGAGTTGTATCTGATGTCCCGTATCAAATATAATTTTTGTGGAGTGCATGTTACGGATGCGAGGGACTTTAGAAAGAATATACATATAGGAGCCATAGCTTTTCTGAACTGATTTTCACCAAATTTGTAGTACCTTCTTCTAGACTGAATACGGACGGAAGTGCCAAAATTCAGGTCATTTAGACAAACATTGGCCATTTGGTGCACAATTAACCCGAAATCGGTTGAAGATGTATATGGGAGCTATATCTAAATTCGAACCGATTCTCACCAATTTCAATAGGGTTCGTCCTTGGGCCAAATAAATATTGTTTGGAAAATTTCATCTCAATCGGATAATAAATGCGACTTGTATTTTGTTCACTAAAATACATGGACAGGCGGACGGGCAGACCAAAGTTGACATGCACAAATCCACCAGAAAGTGATTTTATGAAGATCCTCAAAAGTAACAATGGACCTCGTTTTTTCTCCATTTTACAAACAAATGCACAAAGACAACAGGATGAGATAAAAAAACTGCAGTCAAACGTCATAATTTTTAATTTTTTTCATACCCTCCACCATACTATAGAGGGTATATTAATGTTGTCATTCCGTTTGTAACTTCTCGAAATACTCATGTCAGACCCAACAAAGTATATGTTTTTGATCAGCGTAAAATTCTAAGACGATTTAGCCATGTCCGTCTGTCTGTCTGTCTGTTGTAAGCACGCTATCTTTCGAACAAATTGAGATAGAAGGCTAAAATTTTGCACACATGTATATTTTGCCAGTAGGCAGGTTAAGTTCGTAAATGGGCCATGTAGGTCCAAGTTATCATATAGCCCCCATATAACGGTACCTCCCGATATTCGGTATTTTGATGATTTTAGCGACATTATTCACCGGAATTGTTCCAAATTTTGTATTTGAAGTTCGTAATAGATACTGCAGCATAAAACAGAAAATGGGCCATGTAGGTCTACGACTTCGTATAGCCCCCATATACCATATCCCCCGATATTCGGTATTTTGATGATTCTAGCGACATTGTTTAACGGAATCGTTTCAAAGTTGGCATTTGAAGTTCGTAATAAATGCTGCAGCATAAAACAGAAAATGGGCCATGTAGGTCCACGTCTTCGTATAGCCCCCATATACCGTACCCCCCGATATTCGGTATTTTGGTGATTTTAGCGACATTATTTACCGGGATTGTTTCAAATTTCGCATGTGAAATTCGTAATGGATACTTCAGCCCATGCCAGAAAATTGTCAGTGCAGGTCCACGTCTTCGTATAGCCCCCATATAACGGTAACCCCGATATTCGGTGTTTTGATGATTTTAGCTACATTATAAACAGATTTCTCTTCAAGTTTCGCATTTAAATATTGTAATAACTTATGACAAAAGTTGCGTATGCAGGTCCACGTCGTCGTATAGGCATTCGGTATTTTTAAGATTTTAACAGAATTTTTAACGGTTTTTATTTTATTTTATTATAATTATTTTTTTTTTTTTTTTTGGAAATTGTCAAATTTGCACCAAATGGTGGAGGGTATTAAAAGTTCAGCCTGGCCGAACAGCTTTTTTACTTGTTTAATTATTTGAATAAAAGTCCAATGGGTAGGTATATAGAGATATTGGTGGCCATTGTGCGCTGGAAATGAAGCGAGGAACCTCATTTTTCAAACATTCTTAGGTGGCGCGTGCTGAGTGCGATGTTGCTGCGATGTTGGAATGTCCAAGGTCTGGGGCCAAAATGTTTGCGGGCCCAAGGCTTTAATACACCCTCCAGAATATTTTCGCGTTAATATTCGGCATTTATTCTGATGCCACGGTCGACTAATACGAGCGGAAAACGACCATCGGCTGTTATGGCGGCCCACACCATCGCAATGGCCTGCGCTTGAGTTCTGATGGCCAACCGAAGGTGCACATTTTCAGCTGACCTCTTTGGCAAGCAAACACGATCATTTTGTTTGTTTACAAACTAGAAAAGCTGGACGACGAATGTTTTCTCATCGGAGAAAACCAAATTTGGCAGTTCACCACTTTCGGTCAAGCTATCAACTCTTTAGCTCTTTTGAGTCTATGGGTTGCGGTGTAAGTTCTTGCACTTTTTGGAATTTCAATGGCTTTACCCCGAGCTCATTTTTCAGTATTTGCTGAATGGAATATTGCGATATGTTCAGTTCACGAGCCATTTTCGGCGCTGCGACACGGATTTCGATCAAGTAGCTTCTTTACTTTTCGAACCATTTCTGCTGATGTTGCTGTTTTCTTCCGTCCACTTCCTTGACGTCGGGCTACGCTACCAGTATCACGATAACGACCGATGGTACGAGACACAAAAGATTTATTAGCATATAAATGCTGGAGTGCTCTAGCGATAGCCACTTGTGGTTTTCCAGCCAAATATAAACGATTATGCTTAAATTCCATCACGAATAAATTTTTTTCTGGAAAATTGTCATCGAAATGTTTTCTAACGCTTGTACATAATATAATGAGCTGTCACTGGGATAATTTTAACAGCTATCGGACGAGTGGCTTAGAAATGACAGCTGTCTGAATTTGGTTGTATTAGAAAAATCTTCAAATTCCAAATATAGGGATTTAATTGGGGTATATTACAAAAACGGCGACTCCTATAAAATTTCCTCCTAGAGGGATTCATACCTCCTACCGCCTTCAAGTACAAATTTTTAGCTTTTCCAAGGGCAACGTGGCTGCAACTTTCTAGGCTATTTTCTGCAAGGGGGCTTAATATGTTCTAAAAACTCCACAAGTCAGACAATGTAGACAATTCCATTAAAAATTTGATCGGAATATGTATCATTATAAAGGGGATATTAAAAAACTTGGACCCATACAGACAAGTTTGTGCCAGAGTGATTGGTACTTTAATGGATTCCTCATACGAAAATTTTGTAAATTATAACAGGCGGCTATACAACTCAGAATTTTACGCTGAAGAAGAATATATACTTTGATGGTTTAAAATTATTCCATTACAAATGGAATGACAATCTTCCACATATCCGCCGTAGTACATTGGAGGGCTTAAAAGGGCGATCCGACGCAAAATAGTTTTAAAAAATCTGGTGTTTGGAATTCCATTTTTTGAATCTCTGAGTCATCCGCAAAATATTTGTAAAAAATCCCGTTTTTTGTCATTTATTGTCCTCTTAATTATTTTTATTATAAAGCAGAACTTCCATAGTATATCGACAAACTAACTTAAATTTGACAACTCATTTTTCTCAAAACCCCCATTAGTTGAAATGCACTTACGCACAAAAAATAACTTCACAGTTTTATGAGTTACAAACATATATTTAAATATGTTTTAATATTACACTTGAACAACACACTAAACGAAAGAGGAAAACTACTTTGGGATTTCATTGCGACCATTCGCATTTTTATGGATACATGTACGCTGGCTCGTTAAATGGATATACAACCATGCCAATTACCAGAGGATTTTAACTTTAACTTTTCAACTCAAAATTTGTTTTCGAAAAAAATAAAATAAATGAAAAATAAAAAAATGAGCGTACACACGTTTAGATGCAAAAGCAACGACAACGAAAACTATGGCGAGATGATCTGATGGTGGTAGTTGGGATAGGAGCGTAAAAAAACTACTGCTTCAACGAAAGATGTATACAGACACATAACAATTCGTGTATGGAGATGAGGTTTACACACCAAGGATGTCACACCAAACCTATTTTTTGTTGTTTTTTTCGCACAATTACAAATACTAATACCAAAGGAAACACATACATATGCGTATTTTTATACCAATAGCATTTTTTACACATACCACCTCATATTCCCCACTAATGGTCTTTATTTTGGGTATGGAGGAGGAGCAAAGTGTGAGTGAGAATATTACAGAAAATTGTTGTTGTGGGTGTAAGAAAAATTGGCTCGGGGCGTTGGGGAGGGTCATGTTGTCAATTTTCTGAAGGTGGATGTTATTGTTGAGGGTTTTTTCTCTCATTTCTGTTTATGCTGAATGAGCAACATTTTTGTTTAGAATTAATTTTTTTTGTTAGGTTCTGTCACCAAGGAATTACAAGATTAAATGCAATGGAAATGGTTTTAGCTGTGTTACAATACAGGGTGAGATGAAAAAACTGCAACAAACTTCAGACTGCAATCATCTCTAAGCCACTCCGACGGCTGTTAAAATTATTCCAGTGACAGCTGTTAAAATGCGTAAAAAATCATTTTGGTGAGAATTTTCCAGAAAAAAAGGTATTCGTGGTGGACTTCAAGGGTGATTATATTTGGCTAGAAAACCACAAGTGGCTATCGTTAGAGCACTCCAGCCCGACATCAAGGAAGTGGACCGAAGAAAACAGCAACATCAGCAGAAATGGTTCGAAAAGTAATAAAGCGACTTGATCGAAACCCGCGTCGCACTGGCCGAAAAATGGCTCGTGAGCTGAACATAT